AAGTTCCTCCTAATCCTCCTATACGTGCAAACATATGGTATTTGTCCTTCTCTGCCTGACTTATTTCGCTCAGCATAACACCCTCAAGGTCCATCCATGTTGCTACACATGGCCAGATTTCATTGTTTCTCATTACCATGTAGTATTCCATGGTATAGATAAACCACATCTTCTTGATCCATTTGTCCGTTGATGGAAACTTAGGCTCTTTCCATGTTTTAGCTATTGTTGAGAGTGCTGCTATGAACAGGGGCTGCCTCTTTCAAATGATGGTGAATTGTTGGCAAAGCATGCATGTGCTTTATGTCTATAAATGGTCACTGATCAAGAGGGAGGGGAAAAATATACATGTGAGCCAAAGAATGACAAAGAGAAAAATCACTTTCCTCAACCATTTGGAAACATATTAGTTCATATAAAAGGTTATCTCTGGGGTCAAAATTGAGATGCCTACAGAGCAGGTATCTTTAATGAGTGACGATTAACAGTGCCAGGGAGAGGGAGTAGCCCCTTGATGCTTAGCCTTGGGACATGGGGGGGGGGTGTGAGGGGGACACCAGGGAGTGGTAGGGAGTCTATAGAGCCAGACAGCATCTGTGCTTTGAGTGGGACAGCCACTACCAGCTTAAGGGGTGCTCTTTGAGGGCTTAGGGTTCTCCGGTGCCCAGGTTTTTCAAGAGGGACCAGAAATTCAAAAATTTTGGTGAGATCTCCCCAAAATGTTGGCAGTAAATTGAAAACACTGAAAATCAATTTTGTGTGGACACAACTAAGTGTGAGTGTGTACCAGACACCCTTGGATGACTTTGGGACAGTCTTCCCCAAGGGCTCCAGTCTGTGTAAGGTTGAAGTTGAGGATGAAATCCCTTGACCAAATTCATTCACTTCAACTATGGATGTGTCTAATGGTAATATGACTTAGAATTGTTATGTGCTGGGGATGGGTCCCTGGGTTGGTCTCTGGATGGAGCTAGCTCATTATTGAGCACATTAGGGATTCAGGATGCAGTTTAGTACAAGACATTCCCCCATCCAGTCCCCTTCCCTCTGCACATAAATGAAAGAGTGTCTCTTTAAAACCCTGGGTGGGGTTATTACAGTTTAAAGCTATGGGTTTTTTTGGTTCTCTATTTTTATTTTACTTTGTTCTTATTGCTGATCAGTCACATGTTCTATCACATTCCTTTTACCCTTCTTTTCTTTTCTAAGATTTCTAAATTACTCCATGTGACAAGAACCCAATTCAAGTTTTATTGTATCCCCAAAAGAGCAAATTTAGAAATTCAGAAATTCTTTTGATTAAAAAAAGTGTATATATATATACATGTATATATATACATATACACATACATATATGTATATATGTATATTTAAAAAGTATATAATTAAATATATATTTTACAAAGTGTTCTCTGAAATGAGATGCATAGAAGATTAGAAGATGTAAAATACTTAAAATAAATCTAAATAAAAACTCTGGAAGAATATACATATTTATATTATATTTTATATATAAAAATATATATGTCACTCCAGAATTTTTGTTATTTAAATTTGTCTTAAGTATTTCACATCTTAGATGCATCTTATTTCAGAGGACACTACAACACAGAACAGATTTCACGCAGAGTACATGTAAAAGCTAGTCCCTTGGGTCAGGGTTATTTTCTTGCTTTATTTTCTTTGGTTCAGGTGAGGAGAAGGCTATTCTGAATACATAATTTGTTTTCCTTATGTTTTATAATGGGGGCTCTGTAAACTTTTCTTGTAAAGGTGCAGATAGTAAATATTTCAGGCTTTGCAGGCCAGACAACCGTTGCTACTACTCAGCTCTGGGGTTGTAGCATGAAAATAGCCACAGACAATATATAAATGAATGGGCACGAACATATTCCTATAAAACTTTGTTTACAGAAATAGGTAGCTGGCTGGCCAGATTTGGCCCAGGGGCCAGAGTTTGCTGATCCTGAATTAGAAATACAGAGTATTATACAGTTAAATTGGGGAGTGGTGGTAGTGATATTTAAGACCTTTATAAGTGTTAGGACTAAGAGAAGAATTTCATATCACTGGTGAAAGGCAAGAGGTGCATTTCATGGTCAGTTATGTAAGCTGTATAGAGGCCTATATGCACAAATGTTTTGATCCAAAAAATTGCACCACAAGATGTTAGAAAGCTATCAGGTTTTCCAGTTTAGATGCTGAGTCCAAACTACAATAGTATAGTGCTTACCGAAAGTACCTGTAAATAATCCAGCCAGCTGACATACTAACATCATTCATCTCTACCAACTTAAGTATGAAAAAAGGCCAACTTTAAAATAGTTGAAGTCATGCAAATGGCTCCTGTGGGCTAAGTGAACATTGACTACAGTTTCTGTAGGAGATAAATGCTAAAAGACATTTAGTAGAGCCCAACTTGGGAGGTGTGGGGTTGTTGCAGTTAAAGAAATGGTCCCTTTTGATTCTCCAATAGCTGTGGCTCCCTGGAATTGTTAGTTATGAGGTACTGAGGATGTTGCTGAAGTGCATTTCTTCATGAGATCCCAGATGTTTGTGGTCTAGAACACTTCTCCAACTCAGTATCTCACATCCTAAAGGAACCGACAAATAATTGTCTTCCTTAGATGGTAATGAAGATTCCTGATACCAGACCTACTACTGAATTAAAATCCTCTTACAAGTTGAGTATGGGATGATCCTAACAGGTGACCTATATAAGCTAACCATGCTAGATGGAAGCTGCCTTGGCAAACTCATCAAAGAGATGCTCTTTAGCCATCTTGAGAGGCCACTGCATTGCTTTGAGAGAATGAATAATTTTTCAGATCTCAGGGTGTGTTTTACTGGTGCCTATTGCTAAGTTCCGTGACTTACTTCCTAGTTTTCTTAACAGGGGTAAGGGGTGGGATCAATATGTTGTATGTCTGCTCTATTTGCTCCAGGCTTCACCCTGTGATTGTAACTGAAGTCACCCAGATGTCAGCTTTGAGGCATTGACTAGAAGGAGAAAGATTCTAGTTAGAAAACCCAATGTTTTGTATTCTAGGTGGATATGGTGTTAGAAGCACAATCCCTTAGTTACCTGATCTTTCCATAGATCAGAATAGAAATACTTCAGTGCGAGGTGATGACAGTGGGCATCAATGGTTTTGTACCCCCCAACTGA